AACACTAAAGCAATTTTTTTCNAACATTCCCACGGAACTACATATGATCTTCATTCTAAGTTTCTCAAAATCATCCTAACTTTGTTATCTGCTAAAACCACTAGAATTGAAGGAACAGATATGGATTCACCCTTATCTCCAACTCTGACAAATATCTACAGAGAGAAAAGCTCTATAGTAACAATTCTAAAACTAAATTGATGGTTGAGATGTGTTGACAATACATTTACGATCTGGCCTCAGTGATATAATAAACAATTAGTATTTCTATACACATGAAAATGACATCTTTCTGTTCTTAGATGATCTTATCAGTAGGAAACGAAATGGCATTCTTAGGGTACAGCGTTTACACAAAGCTAACCCTCACATACAGGTTTCTGACTGCCAAGTTCGCGTCAGCATATTAGTACACTGAATACGTACTACTATTAGTTCACGGAGTTATACTTAGAAAAAAGAAAATAATGATCTTTCAGGGCGCAATCCACACTTATGGGCGCACTATTAGAATCAATAGGAAAAATGCTACTAGTTTGCTAAATTAATCGAGCTCGTATCTCCAATAATAACGGAGTTAGCAATAGTACGCCGATAAGTGTGGACACCCTGTATACATTGATGTAATACAATACAGAGTCGGAAAGTCCCCATGGTTCATGGGCCGTTACGTGAGAGCGATAAAGTAAGTCATAGAAATCCGTGCGATAGAGAAAGATGGCTATAATGAAGGCGTCTAATAGTCATCGCCCATTTCGCCCTTCCACAAATAAGATCCACTTCTTATTTTCGGGTAGCTAGAAATTAAGAGATGATGTCAGAAATTAAAAAAAAAATCATAACAAGCAGAAAAATGAATGAATTTTATAACTTTTTTTTAAACTACTCTAAAAAATGTAAACTTTCTATTCAGAGAAATAGATATATTTTTAAATTTTTAATAAAAAAGTTATAACAATTTCAATTTTTTAATCGTTAATTTTTATGATTTAACACTAAAACAATTTTTTCTATGCCATTCGATTGATTATTTAAAATAATGAAAAGTTGCTTTCGAAATTTTGTTTTATGACAAACATAAAAAATCACGTTCGCTTTGTGAAATTGTTATAACTTTTTTATTAAAAATTAAAAAATATGCCCATTTCTCTGAAAAGATAGTTTACACTATTTAGATTAGAGTATTATTCTCCTTGTTATGATTTTTTAAATTTCTAAAATCATGCCTTAACTTCTAGTCTCCCTAACTCTGTTAATTTTAATAGTACAATGGTCAATAGACCATTTTTATATAGAATTTTATGCTCTACAACTTTTATTTCTTTTTTCTAGCTCTTGCCCCTTTCGAAAAAAAAAAATACTGTCACTTATTGTTACTATCAAACTAACTTATATCAAAAATTCAGGTAAGTTGACCAAAATTGGACTAATAACAGAGTCGTCAGAGCAACTTGTCAGGGTGCCTAATTTTTATCGCTTCCTAAATTACCTACTCTCTACATTTCTCTTTCATATAAAAATTGTTTTCACTATTCCAATATACACCACTGCAGCTACTTTCATATCTATTTGAAAGCGTCAAAATTATAGAAAATGAGCGCCCCAGAATTAAAAAAGTTGATGATCATCGGCCACTTCAAGCGTGAATCCTGTTCTCGGCACGGTTCATTACAGGGTTTTGCCCGTGGCGCAGTTGCAACTTTGTACGAAGCTTAATAAGAACAGGAACGATAACGAAAGCTCTTCACAAAATAAAGGCAGGCCTGATTGAATTTCCAATGCAAATGCACTGAAAGTTCCTGATTATTTCAATAAAAATGGCTTTTTTCACTCATTAATATTAATTTGTGTAATTCCGATGATAGACAAGTAAAAAAGTTCTACTAGATTTATTGACATTATTTTGTGTTTTATATTTAGGTACCTACATTTCATATACAGCGTATTCCGATTTATAGGTACAGATCATTAATCACTAGAAATAAATGAAATTTGAATTTGTTTTACTAAATAAACAATAAGAATATTTGAAATACTTACTTCGAAATTAGAATTTTTTGAAGATGGCAAATCCTGAACGTGTTACAATTTTTTAAGGCGAAAATTAAAAAAATATATTAAATATGCTTTGATACCAATTTCTATAAGGATCTATTAATTTTTAAATTTTATTTCCAACATATAAATTTCTCCTGCAAAAGTGTTAATCGTTTTTTTCGCCATTAATTCAGAAAAAATTGATAAACTAAAAAATGAACTATTCAAATAATTGGAGTCTGTTAAATTGGGTGGTGGAGAGATGGACAAGGAGAAGATATAGTCGTCTGTTAATAATTCGCTTGTATATCGGAGGATGCCATTTCAAAAACCATATTTACACCAAAAATTTTTTGAGATGCTCATTAAAACTGTTCTTGTAATATTTACAGTGGGTACTATAAAATATTCTTGTAAATTGGTGTTGCTTTGTTTTGTTGTAGTAAAACAAACATCTACTTATATTCCGTCCCTGTTGAGATGGATTTTATGGAACGAAAAGCAAAGGAACGTCATAGTTTTTCCTCATTTTCATCTTGCGAAACTATAAATGCCTTACAATTGTGCTGCAAAAAAAATAGATTGATTACAAATATTTCTATTGAAGCACCAACTGTCTTCCGATCTTCTGTCTCTATTGAATGGAGGATAGATGAAGTTTAGCATCTTATAACCATTTACTTTTTTATTACATTGAAGGTTCAGTTGAAAATTTTTCAAGCGACGATTTTGCTTCCTTAAAAAGTTACTGCCCGTTAGAATTTTTTTCTGTTTTATTTTTTGAAGACAATTTCGTCACTCTTTTTACGATATTTCAATGAAGTTGTTACAGCCGAAAAAAATTGCAGACTTATTTTTTATATAAAACAGAAGTTGCTATAAAAATTCCTGAAACAGTATTTTGTTTTTCCTTTATTTTCTTATTGACAGATGACAGATATTTTAATAAAACGGAACATATATTTTATGAAACGTTGAGGGTATTTCAATCTATTTAAACTTAATCTTTTTGCTAAATTTGTAGCTAAATTAAATATTTTATACAATTTAGACTAACTTACACTGTAAAAAAATTTCACTCAAATTTCACTCAATTTTACTCAATAATGTATCAATTTTTGTCCACACCTAATTGAGTGAAATTTTCACTCTATTAGTATGAGTACAACTGAGTGAAGCTATTGCATCAGAAATGAGTGAGTTTTGCTCAAATCCGAGTTTCTGCTAACTATCAATTGAGTGACTGTTAACTCTATTATGAGTATATAAAACCAATTTAGAGTTGACTTTTTCTCTAATATGATTTAAATTGAACTATTATTGAGTCATTTTTTACTCAGACTTGGTTTTTAATTAACTAAATATTGAGTGCAAAAATAAATCACTCATAAATGATTAATTAGGATATACAGTGTTGAAATTAATTCACTTCTCTTGGCCTCCTCTTGTCCTGGCTGAGACCCGCCAGCTGAGACCCGCCGCCGCCGGTCTGTTCTCCTGGCGATCACGCTTTTTTGGAGCATCTAACGGGCCCCTATCAACTGTGGTCGAGATTACAGAAGCAATATGTGGTGCCATCTTTACGGCGCCATTCAAATTACTCGAAATTAATATACATTTAATCTCACTCAGTAAAGAGGATTTACTTTGATTTAGGTACAAGAGCACCAAATTCGAGTTTACTTGAAGAATTTATTTAAGGAGTGCCTATATTTGAGTGAAAGTACTCAGTTTTAGCTTAAATATAATCACAAATGAGTAAAATGATCAAAATGACCAATATTGAGTGAAAATGTACTCAATATTTTCACTCAATGGATTCACTCCGAACTTTTATTGCTTTCACTCACACCGATTTTTTTGCAGTGTACCGCCATTCAAATGGCACCGTGTAATGTGATATGATCTTTAAAATGTAGGTCCTCTTTGGAGGCCTCTGTGTCAGTCTGTCTGTATTCTGCTTCTCTTCGTAACGTTGTTTACGGCGGTTGTCATGGCAACGAAGCGGCCAACACGGGAGTAAACTACGGCGTGGGGGAATGAGTGACGCAGAAAAATCGAATTGAATAACTATGTATGATCCAGTACGTATTTTATTGGAACAGATGGAAAATTGAGAACAAAAAGGATTTTTTAAATTGCGAGAGATCTGTGTCTTATTTTCTCGATATGGAAAAAAGTGGAAGTCAAAAGACAACGTTTACGTTCGAACGTTTTAACTATTTTGGGAACGTCACGCGAGGCTATGGTAACCAGAAAGCTTCTTTGGAACATACATGTACGGTGTGCGTTAATGTTCGCAAGTCCACAAGCCGAACTAATATTTCTATTTTTTATAAAATCTAAATGAAAATTCCTCTCACAAAAGTCAGTTTATCGGTAATATTGCAAATGCAATTAAAAATTTCCAGATTCATTTAACTTTGAAAATTTGAAAATTTTCGCCTGCGGTGCAATTTTTCGTTTTAGTCAGTCAATGAATATGCTTCACCTATTCACAATGTCACGAGCCACCACTGAAAAAAGATATGGCAAAAAAAAACAAGAGACTGTTTTAATATAAGAAACAAGTCTACGTTCATCTTCGGTCCAAAAATTCTATACCAAATTTTATTGAAATACCTAAAACTTGGCATAAAAATTTCTTTGAAGACCGGTAACTTTTGAAAGAGGTAAATCGCTTTTGGACAACCCGTATAAAATTTGAAAATTCTATAAATTGGTATAGGATATTTTGAAGGCAGTTATTATTTTATAAATTCAGAATTTTATTTACATGGTCGATTCTATTGCGAGCACAGATTTATCCTCTGACGAAAAATGGTGAACTCTGCATCCCAGACTAAATCACAACCTAAATATCTTCCAAACTTCACGTCTCAGAGTAGTGGCCCCGGAATCATTTACGCACTTATCCGAGATAGCCGTACTAAATTGCAACCTAATGCTTTCCAATTTTTCAGATCAGTCCGAGGCTGTGCAAACAGAATTCGGCAGGGGCGGCAGATTTAGAAAAAATTGAAGAGGTCCCATTAAGGATTCCCTCGACGTCTCCCAGCAGTGTGTCTCCCATTCAGTGCACTTTATCTATATCAGTAGACTCCTTAATACACTAACTTCTGCCCAAGATTCGTCTCGAACATAAAGCAGCGACGTGAACAATAAGCATAATTCAGAGACAATCACTTTTTTGTATACGTCTACCACTGTTTTTTGGTATGTTAAACTGGCAAGGCCAGCATTTCATATGAATATCTGGGCATATTTTATTTCGACAGAACGCAAGAGCGTAAATAAAACTGCTCCTTAAAATATCACTCGTACAATGTCTAATGTTTTTGTTACTGATAAACGCCGATTTTTATACATGTCGCAATTGTGTGACAACTTTTGTCATTTATTATTTTTTGTTATTTATTTGCATGAATCAAATTGTGAAGTTTCATTGTATAGGTACATAGAAAAATTAAACAACGATTAATCACTGAAAATGATTTATTCTTTTTTTTTGCAAAATAAATTAAATTTTCTTTTTTAAAAACATTTTATGTTCTTAATATAAAATATAAAGACTTACGTTAAACTAAAATTAGTCGGTTTACATTAGTATTAAACAGTGGATATAACACACTAGAACACACATATTTTTAACTAAATTACTCTGGTTTGATAGAGGAAAAAATGAAATAAAAAATATTTCGTTAATTAATTTCATTCAACCAAAACATCTACGCTATGTACTAAGAGGAATGTAATCAGTATAGAATAGCAGGTTGGCAGTGGCGGCCCGTGGGTTTAAATACAGGAGGGGCGCATTTTGAAAAGAGGACGTACATCATAAAAGCTGCGGGGGGTGTGGGGGGCGGCATCACCCCGCTTAGCGCCGCAGACGAAAAATTTTAAGGAATTTGAAAGTCATTGTGTTTTGCAAGTACCCCAAAATGAATACTGTCAGTGTGTAAAGTAGCTACTTAGTTACAATTCGAGAAATAAAATTCCAACGTGTGGGGGCTGAAGTGGATAATCGATCAACCAACCCAGTTAGGATGTAATTATGTAGATTACTNACTTAGATACAATGCGAGAAATAAAATTCCAACGTGTGGGGGCTGAAGTGGATAATCGATCAACCAACCCAGTTAGGATGTAGATTACTGTAATAGTTCATTCTGTATAGTTTTTGAAGTTCCTTTAAAAACATGGGCATCACTAAGATGTTTATCTAAAACGGGATCAATTTTTGCACTAAGTATAGTCTATCAGTTCTAAAAATACCTCTTTGTTTACCGAGTCACTTTTTTTATTATGTCCACGAAGAGGAAGGTTACATGTACCTACCACATAGTTTTAAGATATTTATAATTTATAATAAGAAGCAATCGATTTTTCTTAACTGTTTCGTTATGACTATTTACTATTTATTTGTTCTGCATAAGCACTATTTAAACAAGAAGCAATGTTTACTCTTCCTAAAAGTAAAAAACTCACCAACTTATTTTTGTGTTTAGGAGAATTTTCATGTTTCTTAATTTTAATTTCTAAATGTTTCAATTCAGAAACTCCAGTTTTCGTCCAGTTTTCTTCGCCTCCTCCAAACAATAAACAGACAAAACAAAAAAAAATCTATTTGTTTGGTCACAATCACACACCACAGGGTCTTATCATAAATATTTTTATCAAATTTGCGAAAGCCGGCCCACTTTTGCACTCTTTCTGCACCTGAACTAAATTCTACACCGGCGTTGGACGTCCGTTATTTTCCAATTTGACTTTTTCCTCTACACTTAAATTACTAATAACAAGTTTTTTTATTTCACAAACCCTCATTTTAAACTTAAACTTATAAAATATAATGTCTTAAAAAGCGCCAAACAAAAACAAAACACATATAACCACACTTCAGTGATACGGGTTACTGCCTCATGGAGTCCCAAAACAAAGCTCGCGAGCCTATCGTCACCTATTCCCTCCACGTGCCATTCGTGCCAATTTGTCCAATCATATGTAAAAATATGCTTGCACGATGGACTCAGATTTCACGGTCCGCGACGATGGAGTGGGGATTGCGCGCGCGGTCAAACATAACTCTTTGGTACGATGATAGATGGCAGATGGCATTAATCTGAGCTACGTTCACGGAGTACATGCACTTTATGCAACCAACCTAACATCCAAGAGATATTGAAGCATGCTATTTAGATTTCTTATTGATTTAAATAAATACATTATTTTAAGTTTATAGTTTCAAAATATCTGGGGGGGGGGCGGAGTCCCAGAGTCCTTCTTCACGAGCCGCCACTGCAGGTTGGTCCAAAAATTAGTCGGTAGCAAACATCCAGACAACATAAAATTACTGTTAACTTAGTCACTTCCAGTAATATTTGAAGGAATTTGCCTGTTTAATTTAAAACTACTTCTCTTTACTATTTATTTTTAGAATGGCCAAAGTTCTGAGATATTAAAAAAATTAAAAAAGCATTATCAAAGTACTGTAAACTTTTATTTATGTCGCCTCTAAACTTTTTTGCTAAAATACAAATCTATAGCCTGTAATGTAAGTAACATTTTGTTAGAAATTGATAACATAGTCCCACAAAAAAATTGTGTATCAAAGAGATGAGTACAATAATTATGTGTATTTTTTGATACCGAATTCGAATCCTTAGCCCAAAAACCGATTTAAGTACCAGGTAATTTTTTAGTAAAACGCTAAAACATAGCCAAACATCATATCAAACTTACTTAAACATTTTTGAATTATAAATATTTAAAATTAATATTATTTGTAAAAAAAAATAATCTTGAAAACTTTCGTATTTATCTGAAAATTGCATTTTCATTTTATTTTATAGTAAAAATTTCAGTTTTTTTTTTTCAATTAATATATTGACACATGATTGGCAAACATAAATTAAATATAAAAAATATATAGTTTAACATTTGCCTGCAATTATTTATTTGTGGCATTTATTATTATTAGAGCTGTCACAATCGGTCCGCTAGCCATTGGCGCCGTCAGTCAGCCACGCGCGCCGCCTAACTGTAACATGTCTCAGAAGACTCAATTTATGTTTGATTTAGTCTTCATACTGATTGCATGTAACCTACCATTTCATGTAGTAAATAATAAAACATTTCTTCCTACTGGAATGAGTACAAGCCTGAATGGAAATTACCATGTCGGACCAGCTTGGAAGTAGATTATTTCATTATGCAAATATTACATCAGAAGATGTCGAACGGTCGTCCTCTTCAGATTAAGATATTTTATCATCGACGCGAATAAGTTTCGCTGAAACAAGGGTTGAAGAATATCTGATGATGCGATCTATAATGGATCCCATCCAGATTGTGGAGCCGATGGCAACGTTGCTTAAAACAATTTACATGTTCCACAATGATACAATGACATAAATTCTTATAATCTTTGTTCATTTTATTTTATGTTGATGATCCGCACGCTTTTGGTGCTCGGCCAATTCTGACAGCTCTAATTATTACTTTGTTATATAACTAGATATTTCTATTACACTGAGAACAAATGTTTTTAATGTTATAGTTTGTAAAATGAATCTCTTTACTGATTCATTTGGCGCAATACCTGTATTAAATAAAACTTTCCAGTATGACAGAAATATCCAATCGAATAAAATAAGTAAAAAATATGTTATATATAACAGAAAACATGGAAAGTTAGCTTTGGTTTCCGAAGAATTCATTATTTTTCTTAAAGAAACTACTAGTTTCCTTATTCGAAAATTACACAGTCACACAAAAAAACTAAAGTGCGAACATGTATACTCCAGTAATGCTACTCAATTTGATGCCAATAACCGATGAAACACACTCATAGTCAAAGTTTGGCTAATAATATTTAGGGTTGGCCATTTTAATTAATAGAATATCAGGCACACACAAAAGTCGAAACCCAATGTCTGACATATCATTTCCGACATACTTTGACCAGCTAACAACGATACCGCAGTCAGAATTTATGCACGACCAGCCAGTATCTTGTAAAATCTATATTGGACCCAAAGTTCTTTTTGTGTGCCGGTGTTGTTTATAATTACATTTGAAGCTTTGTCCGAGTTTTATTATTTTTTTATATGTACTTCTAACAATGTTATACCATGATTGTTATGTTTAATTTATGTTTATTTTCCCTCAATATCTCCGAAATTAGTAATTAAGGTGAATAAAATCAAAAGAATTACTAGCGTGATTAAACCCAATACTATTTTAATTACTAAACTGGCGCCTTCGCCACAAATACAAAAATGTGTGAATGGAATTCTGTCTTATTTTTGTCTACATAACAAAAGCATTGTCAAAATAAGTTTTACTAACAATTGGTTTAAAGGAATATATGATTGAATCAGGAAAGGGTGAATAGATGCTATAAAGAGTTAGTAGAGAATATCTAGAAACTACTGCTTTCAAAATGTCTTATTTTTAAAAATTAATCACAAAACTGTCTATGGGGTAAGTACTAAAATAATCTAATCGTGACAATAAAAGATATAGGTACTGTACTATTTTTATATATTATTATTTAAAATTTTTTGCAACGGAACTGCCAGTTTAGCATACTGAAAAGCAATGTTAGAATTGATAGTTTGCGTGGTTTACTGATATTTACTTTACAATCTCAATATAAACAATTTAGTAAACATCTACTTGCTGTACTTAAACAAAGAATGTGTGCTAATTTTAACACTCCATAATAACACTCAATTTAAAAGATTTTTTAATGAATTCCTCATGTTTATTTTAACTTTCAGTGATTTGTTTATAAGAAGGTGAATTGATAATTTTTTCTATTGAACTTTGCAATTCACTGTAATTTTGATGAATTGTATTGCTACAGCGCACAAAACTATAGAAATGTTAAACCTAATCTTTCTATAAACATTCTTGGTTCGTACATATGCACACTTTTTGCACACAACCTAACCTAACCCTAAAATCTGCTAGTTGACTTCCATATCTTATTTTATTTAACTTTTTTTTTTTATATAATTCAGTTATTTTTCTCATTTTTTACACATATAATGTATTAAACATTTTTTTATCAGGTATTTCTTCTTATAATACATATAAAAGTGTATTTTGA